AATTATTTCCTGGTTGTACAACACGGTTTTAAATTCTTCCACCAAAAAAGAAGCAGAATGAAAATAGTGGTGGTAACTGCATAAATCAAGGGCTTTTTAAGAGCAGGAGAAGCTGCCTTTTCAGCCAAGTAGCTGCAAAAGGGAAGGTAAGCAAAGATACTGCTTTAGTCAGTATCAAGTCTAAATAAAGCTTTTAAAGGAGAAAACAAGCAAATCTCAGTCGGGAAAGTAAGGCAGAACAAACTGGCAGCAGTAGTAATGTGGGAAGTAAGATAATGACTGCAAGCATGAAATTCAGATATAAAAAGGCTGCCACAGAGTCATTTTTGAAGAGGGTGTGATACTGGGCTGTTTCAAATTATTATTCTTTTCCATATATATGGAATATACTTTTCCATATATATGGAATATACTTTTTTCAAAGTATATACTTCATGTATATACTTTTATATATATACTGTTATGTATGTCATATATATATTGTTAGAATGAGTCCAGAGGAGGCCATGAAGATGATCAGGGGCTGGAACAGAGTCTCCTACGAAGACAGGCTTAAGAGAGTTGGGCTTGTTCAGCCTGGGAAAGAGAAGGCTCTGGGGAAACCTTAGAGCAGCTTCCAGTGCTTAAAGGGGGCCTACAAGAAACCTGGAGAGGGAGTATTTACAAGAGCATGTAGTAACAGGACAAGAAATAATGGCTTCCGGCTAAAAGAAGGTAGATTTAGATTAAATATTAGGAAAAAATTACTCATTATGGGGTTGGTGAGACACTGGCACAGGCTGGTCAGAGAAGTTGTGGCTGCCACATCCCCGGCAGTGTTCAAAGGCAGGCTGGACAAGGTTTGGCGCAACCTGGTCTAGAGAAAGGTGTCTCTGCCCACAACAGGGAGTTGGAACTGAATGATCTTCAAGGTCCTTTCCAACCCAAACCATTCTATGTTTCTATGATTATTTAGAAGATGAGTTTTTCTTCTCTTAATTAGTTAGGGCTGCAGAGTTCATGTATCTCCACAGCATTAATAAAACTCTTACTGTATTTCATGCTTCAGAACTGAGGGACATTACTGAACTGACATAAAGCAAATTCAAATTTCTTTTGTAATTCTAATTGTGGTGCTGAGTAATCATGGTTTTATAAAACATTTAATCTTTTTCTTCTTTTTACATTTGGATTTTTCACTGTTGTGGGGTTTTGGGTTGGTTTTGGTTTTGTTTGTTGTTTTTTTTTTAATTAGCAGTGCTGTACATATGAAGTCACTTCTAAGTGCACAAAAGAAAGGTGTAAACATCTGAATACAGATCCAAAATGGAGATCCTTATTAGAGCAAAATCGGAGGAACAAAATAAAACCACAGTACTAAAACAGAGATTCCCAGGCTTACTCTGCTGAAGTTCATTCACTGGCATTGATTACTGAAGGACTGTTGGTGCCAGTGGTGTTAATTTATCTGGTTTTATTGGCATCTATGAGAGCAAGGCCTCTAGCCTATGTTCACCAACCTGTTAAACACGCCTGAAACCAGGACCCCATGCCTGCTTCGCTTACTGGTTTATCACCTACTTCACTCCATCCTATTCTCGTATATCAGAATCTACTCTTGTACAGCAGGCCCACTTCAAAAATCACTCTCAAAACAGTACCTGCTTGAAAGATGTTGAAAGTGAAATGAAAGTGTGACACAGTACTTCCCTAATGTGCTGTGCTTCGGAATAATGTTCAACAAGGAACTCGTCCCACAAACCCATCTGCAGATAAGTAATCCTATCAAAGGCAGTTGAGTGCATTTGATTAAGGATTACAAGTGATTAGTGGTCTGCAAGGTTAAGAGTACGACCTGTATCATTAATGAGTATTCATGTAGTAATGCTGCTTTGAGAGCAGGTTAAACTAGATGACCTCTGAGGTCTGTTCCAACTGGAATAATTTCATTATTATCACACTTGTATTATTCAGATAGACATTTCATTTATTAAAACATATTAATTGAATAAACTAAGCTCTGGCAAGTCATCACAATTATTTTACCTACTGCATCATGTTGTAGCATGGAGTTGCAAATTTGACCTAAGTTTAACACTTAAAACAGTAAGAGAAATACACCCATGCCCTTTGTCTAATGCTTTGAATTCCTTGTATACAGTTTTGTATCAGATTTAATTCCTTGTAAAAGAATTCCTTCCTAGCACACAGTTGACATGGTTCCAGATCTGGAAGTAGTCCAGAGTTGAGTGCCTGACTATTTGATGCTTTGTGTGCAGTTGAACTGTGTGAATGGACTTCAGCTTACTCTGACTAATTAATGTACCGCTAGCACTGAGACCACAGTAACAAAAGCATCCATGCAGGTTAGCAGTCTAAGAAAGGCTTGTAGCCCTAAGAACTTCCCAAAGCAAGGACTTGGAATATGAGAGGGCGTATTTACATTAAAAAAACAACCAAACAAACCCACCACCACCCCAAAATAACCCCAATACAACCCCCCAATGTTACAGCGTACTCCGTAGATTCTGAATATATGTAGATGTTGAGACACAACTGGTTGAGTTTAATAAATGACACGTTAGGTGACTATTAAGATGAACAGTCTTTATCATTATTTAAGAAATTGTATTTTGATTAACAGTAGTATCACCCTTCTCATTACGATGTGTGGGGAATTCATATGGATTTCCTTCCTGTGTTTGGATAAAATTTGTACCTGTTGATACTTCAACTGTTTTCAATTAATATTGTTAATAAATTACTTTTAAGCCAGAAATTGGTGATGAGGGAGGAAATATAAAAATTACTGGCTGTAAAAGGCCAATCACTTTCACGTGCATGTTATCAGATATGTTTTTATGTAACTTTTTAACCCTTCCGAATACGTGAATTAAGCATGGTAACAGGATATAGCTGTTGTCATGTCTTATTGGTAGCAGCATGTTTCAGGGAAGTACTTGGGGTTTTGTACACTTTTATATAAGAAGAAAAGGAGGATGGCAACATAGCAAGTAATGTGTAAGGGCTTGACAGGTCTTACGGACTTTCAAGGGGTATAGAAAGCAACTAAAAGGAGTAAGAGGCACCAAGAGAGAGCAGAGTTACTTCCTTAGGCTGTTCTTCACTACAGAGATGTTGTGGACATTTTATTCTTTCTAAATAGTGTTGATGGGACATTGCCTAATTATCGGATTACAGAATCAAAAGATTGAATGCTAGAATAAGGTGCTAAAGAACCCTAAGTCATAAGTACTTGATGTGATTCATTCATTCAGTGGTTCTGAAGGATGAAGTGGCTGATCTGCTAATAGGAATGCATGTATAGAATGCATGTAGTGTGAGGTGTTGTGCCAGAAGTCCAGAAGCTATCAGTTGTTGTGCATACTGTACTTTTGAACACAAAGAGCAGATCTGGAATTTGCAGACCAAGGACTCGTATTTTAATGCCACATAAGTAGATTTGAATACTAAATGGATAGTCAAGTAGTTCTGTGAGCAAAAGTTCTAACAGTGCCTCATTTTCTATGTAGTATCTTAGAGGAAATGAAAACTACCTGCTGCAGCTGGGGTACTTACAAGGTGTCTCTCTTAGGCATGTATTTGTTCTCTAATAACATGGGCATATACTGCAGCCTCGACTTCAGTTTGGGGGTAGGTCTTCTTTATCCAACTGCTAGTACTTGGAATTCTGAAATCTCTCAATTCTTATTAAACTGTACATGACTTGTGAATCCTCATCTCTGACAAAACTTTCAGAAGTTGGGTAGTGGGTTCAAATGTTAGGAAGGGTCAGGCATAACCTAGGGAGATACCTTAAAAAGCATTAATCTCTCCTGTCTTTAGCAGGCTAAACAATGATCTAAATTGCTTCTTTTGTTAGTGGAAGAGAGATACACACATATGTATTTATGTACTTGCATGCCATATGAAGTTCATCCTACCTTCTTAAATTTACGATGTATGGCTTCTGGCAGGAAACTGTCTCTATAACCCAAGCAATGCTAGTGTGGCCGTACAAGCCTGTGCAATTGCAGGCATAGCAAACTGTGATGCAGAGATGGAAAGTTAAAATAGTCCAAGAATACCCTATACTGCTTTTAGTGGCAAAGTTGTCCTCTATCTCATAATTTACACTTAGGTGACAACAGTAGTTCCTGAAGTGCTGACATTTGTAGCTGCAATTAGCTATGTGCTTGTTTCCTTATTGTCCCTCCTGTTGTATTAGCATAGTCATTTGTGTTGTAATGCAGTGACTTGGATCAGAAAATTGATCCGGACTTCAAGAGTTTATTGCAAGAAGCAATTTTTAACCAAAGTTAGTTCCCTAATATGGCGAAAAAATAGTGAGTGGCTCCACCAACAGATATATCTGCACAAATGTGGTTGTGGCACAAACATGAGAATAAGGAGCAGAAGGGTTACCTCTGTTTGAATTGGCACTTTTACCAAAATAGATGTTCATCAAAATTATGCCTCTAGAATCTGTTTTGGAAGTGATTAGTTTTGTCTGCAAATAAACATCCAAAGTAAAATACTGTATATGTTCTATAAAATCAGAGAAAGTTGTGGGGAACTTGAGGGCTGGATATATTAGTAAATAATGGTAGATGTCATTCGGTATTTGTGGTTATAAAATAATTCACACTGGAAGGAATAACTTGAATTACTTGAAGATAATTTAAAATTACAAGTAAATCATCTGCAACAATACATGTATGATTACGTGAAAACTTATTTGCTGTGTGCCCACTGTACAAGAAATAGGCCTAAAATTTATTGAAAGTGTGCTTTATAGTAGTATTTATGTAGAAGCTCTTTATCTGGGCATTTTTTCTCAAATGAACTATCTGGATGTCCATCTGGTTTAGTTAAGTCATTTACACTTACTTTATCAGTCAGCGCATATACATATCCTTTGTGTGTTTTAAAATGTTATGGATACATAACAAGTTCTTGAAAACTAAGTATAGTCTTTTCAGTAAGTTTACAAAAACAAAGCCACTGTATTTCTTGCTTTCAGTTCAATCTCCTCAAATAAACTGGAATTTTTTAATAATGGCAATACATTCATTCTGCCATTTGGAGGAGCCTGTGCCACAGAATAATGATCTGAAGAAAGCTCACTTATTTGCAAAGAAGAGTCTTCATTTGGGAAGTAGTTCCGATGCAGCTAAGAGGTGCTTTGTCAAGTTCAGGTTAGTACTTCATTTTGTTTTGGTTTTATTGTACTTATTTTGTTTGGTAGGCTGGCATTTCATTTAAATTAGCTTACATGCAGTGTCATGTCGGAGCCTGACAGCCTTTGTGTTGGTCATTTGACTTATAAAGATCTTGAACTGAAAAGACACATGCAGTGGCATGTGCACTTATGAGATGTGTGGAGGGGAATTGTCTGAAAAATTATTTTAGCACAATTTATCATGTGTGGAGTAATTCAGGATGGAGATTATGATGATCATAATGCCATGATTCCCTTCTGCTACGAGTTCTTTTTCAGAGTTTTCTTATGTGTTTATTTTCTGAATTCAATATTCTGCTAAGCCAGAGTTGCTGTTTTGAATGTAAGTGTTAATTATTAAGTCTCAAATCATTCAGGGGAAATAAAAAGGAAGCTATGGTCAAGTTTTCACAACCCAAAATACCTTCAAATTTTCCACTTAAAAAAAAATCTGGGTTTTAATGTTCTGTGAGTCAGATTTTTTTCTAAAATGGATCCTCAAATCTTGGCATGCTAATGCTGGATCAGGATTTAATTTTAGATGAATGGTTACTGTAAGTTGTGGGTTTTGTTTGTTCGTTTTTTCTAGACATCCAATTATTTTTATAACATAATGACTTCCCAGCAGTAGTTGCTTTATACTCATATTCTGCATAAGAACTGTTTGCAGTGTACAAGTGATGATATAGAAAAACAAGAAACCCATAAACCAAAAAACCCCAAACCCCCACAATCAAATTGCTTCTTATCAGAAAGGCAGAGTAGATTTTGTCAGCCTTTACAGTGGTGCACACAGATCTAGAACCTTTTTATGATATCTGTCTACTTTGTTGCTAAATTACTAGATGACTTGCATATATAAAAATATATCTCTATAGATGTATATATTATCTGAGAAGCTTTTACAATACCATTTGTCTTGCTAAAAGTCCTACAGAATGAAAAGTACTCGATTTGGTAAATTTAATACTGTTGTATCTTTTGGGTCCATAGGCTCCTGTTCTGCCTGGTTTTGTGCACTTGCTTAGTTTCTTATCAATGCCACTAACTTCTTATCAATGCTATGCTGGTACAGTAATGATGCTGAAGAACTTCAGTGAAGTAGAAAGAACTGTACTATTTTAGTGTAGGCCTCTACTCCCCTTAGAGAAAACATGAAGATACTTGTTTAAATCTCTACAAACATAACAGACAATTAAAGTTCAGAAACTAGTTAAGAAAAGCTTTTGAACTGTTAGAGTCCTCCAAACATGGACAGCACTAGTGAAAAAGAGGCTGTTCCTTCAATGAAGTTCTAAAACTTGAAGTGCATTTCAATGAAATCATCACACAAGAGAATTAATTTTGGAGATACTTCTTAAGTGTTCTGGGTTTATTTTGCAGTATGAATGTTATGTGTTCACCAGATACCAATTTTAAAATATTTTTTTATAAATGCTACAGAATTATAAAAACTGAGGGCTTTGATACATCTGACTTTATTTTTAATACATTTGAAGAACAATTTTCTCAAGCATATTAGGTTTTCCTGTTGGTGAGAATGTATTCTAGCTGTACATGAAGTCAAACTTTTACTGAACATGGTTCCATAGGAGCCAAAGTAGGACAAGGGTAAAACGTAAAACAAATTCAGGATTATTCAATAATAGTGCTTATGATGTCTGTAATATGGATATTGAAAGCAGTGAGTATATTTTCATCTGAATCTTTCAGCAGAACTATTATTGTTTCTAGTAGAACCTCCTGTTTGTGGTCAAAATTGGGGTTTCCTCAAAGAGAGTCCTGTATCTGAAGGGTGAGAAGGTAAGGTATTTGAGGTTATATTATTCCAGCAAACAGTTAAAAGCAATTTCAATTACTTTTAACATACACAAATATACATAAATACTTGATTTATCATACATCAAGAAGTCTCAAATTGTTTATATCAGTTTCTGTTTGTTGTTTTTTTCCTTTTTATCTCATGGGTGGAATTTCTGAAAATATTCAGCTCTGCTTTATAAATGTGTTTTCCATGAAATCAGTGAGCTGACCTGAGTGGGAATAAAGGTTGGTTTATCTTTAGTGAGACAAAGTTAAGTCATCACTAAGTGGTTTTGAAATCTCATCCTTGAAACACTAGGTCTTTGACATTCAGTGGGATGAGAATCTCAGAACAGACTGACTACTGGGGACTCCCAAGCTACAGTTCAGGTAAATAATTTCTTTGGAGGAGGAACTTAGATGTTCCTTCTTTTGAAAATTAAGATAATTAAGTACCAAAGAGTGCAATTTAAACTATAAATATTTTTCACTTAACATTTACATTTAAAATAGATATGCCTACATTTGTGAGAGGTTTTGTTAGTTACAGTTCAAGCATTATATAGTCATATAACATTTCAGCAGTCCTGTTTCTAAAGAGGACTTTTTCACTGGCACAGAACATGAATCTCTAGTTCTATTCCCAGACACATTTTTATCTTGTTTTCCAACATGTAGCTGTGAGTGCATAGCTAGTTCAGCTACTGCAATTTCCATTTTGCAAAGGCAGAGATGTCTTTTGGTAATGCATGCATAATTTAGATGTAATAGCTTCTATATTGGAATAAGTGTTAGGGGCTCTGTTCTGATCATGGGATTAACTTGGTTCGTTCCCTCATCTAGCTGGTCCCCACTTTCCCAAGGGAAAGGGTAGCTCAGTTTGTGTTGCAACAGCTCAGTGTAGTTTGTAACCTTAAGCCTTGCAGTCACCTGGAACTGGTGCTTCTGCACTTTATTTCTGATCTCAGAAAGCACAGTGGTGCAGCGGGTACTGCTGCCTCAGTAGTGGAAGCAGGAAGCTTGGAGAAGAACAGGGTATGCAATGGGAACAGGAGCCATTACGGCCATCTCCAGTAATCTGTACTAGTTTATCACCCAGTTTCCACTTTGCTTCTCTGTTTTGGGGAAGAGGGGGAGGAAAAGGTGGAAAATAGTTCTGTAATTGGTATAAAAAGAGCAAGAATTTTTTTCTGTTTTAAAAAAAACAAGTTTGCTTCTGCATGATAGTGTTCCAAAGAGAAAACATTAAAGCTTTGGGGATTTTTTTTTTTTAGTATATTTTTTAAGGGGTTACCTAATTTCAATTATAGACTTACTTTTTTGCCTTCTTCAGAAAGAGAAAGATAATATAAAGGGTGAGGATTTTGAGATCAAGAATAAAAATTGAGAGTAGTTTAACAGAACAGATTAAGCAAATCAGAGATACATGTCTTAAGTTTAAGAAATATTCAACTTCAGTGAACCATTAACATCAATGAGGCGATATGAGGTTTCTATTTTCAGTTCTATAGACGATGCAGACTGTGAGAGGAACAGGTGCATCTGAAGTAGATTATCTGGTTTAAGAAAATAAGCAACTATTCCTGCCAAGCAATTGGTTAAACAAAACTATTAAAATACAAGTATTTTCATAGTAGCTCTCTAATTAATTTAAGTAATTAATGGAAGAAATATGTGCTTGTAGTAAGTTGCATGTTTCTTCACAGGTGACAAAAAATACAGATATTTTTTCTTGTCCTTGACAATTCAGTGATCCTGTAATTCTTGTCACAGGTATACTAAACAACTGGGAGTGAATTTCTGCACCTCTTCAATTTGTAAGGTCATAAAATCTGAGCAACAGTTACTAAGAGTTCTTGCTGGTTGAAAGAAATCACATAGCAGGCAGCACATTCAGTCTTATAGTAGTGATGTATTTTAAGAGACAGACTGTATCACTGTAGGTAAGGATGTGCCATTAGCACTGAAAAGTAGAAGCATGGTATCTGAGCAATATAGAAGCTGTGCACATACCTCTTTTTGTGCCAAATACATTGATATGTTAGTATTACAGAATATATTTGTTCCGTTCCTCTTGGAACACAATTAGCTTCCTCTCCTTTGTCCAAAAGTGCAAAAGAGATGTCTCTTACCTTGTTCTTGGGACTCATGATCCAAGAGATCTCTGTCTCAGAGAAGGCTCGTTGGCTGTGAGAACTGATATATAGCTTACCTTAGGGCTTAACAATGATAGCAGGACTGGATACCACCCAACAACTATGCCAGTTTTGGTTCCCACCATTTTGACATTCTTATTCGAGGCAGCCAAAAAAAAAAATGGATCTACCATTGCTTGTGGACATAGATGGAAAAATATCTTTTACATACTGGTTTTGGTTCATATTCTTAATGAAGCACATACAGTTCACCTTTGATAAGCAAGTTATTATTGTAGATATTTTACTTTATCCAAAGATTTCTGGGAGCTTGAGTCTTATTTTCGGGGAGACAGATGGGGAGACAAAAGCACGCATACATGCGTTTGTCTTGAGTCTGGTTTGAAAGCTACTGTAAAACAAGTCATAAGTAAGGAGGAAAATGCATTCTTGTTTTACCAGGTGATTCTGGTGTCTCAACTCAGTTGTCTTGAGGATACTATTCATAGTGTCCTAATGGGAACACACTGGTTAAAACATTATAATTTTTAGCTCTGTTTTCCTTCAAGGACCACCTGAGGAAGTAACTGAAGTTTGTTCCTGTAGAAGCAAAAACGTTGGGATTTTTTAACAGTGTAGCCTGAATTTGCAGATGCTGTTTGAAACAATCAAATACAGTATAGAAAATTGTGTGTGTGTATATATATATATATATATATTTATAGGGGTTTTATCTATAGTTATAGGCTGTATATATCTATATACATAGAGAACTATCTATATATAGAGATAGTTACAGAATAGTACTGCCACCACTATAGATAGTGGTGGAAGTACAGTTGTGCAGCTGAACTAAAGGGATTTTGCTGGATAACTACTGCCTGTTACTGTCATTGGCAAGTCAGAGATAATTTCCAAAGCTGTAGTCTGGTTGAGGAGGAGTATTTGCTTTTATGTGTATGTTCCAAGCCAAAACACACACTTTGTTTTTACCAGTGTTTTTACTAAGATCCAAAATCATCACAGCATTGTTGCTGAAAAGAAAAAAAAAGTTATTTTTAAAACAAAAAGTGTTATGAAAAGAACAGTGACACCTGAGTGGCACAGAGAAAACCTGTCAGCTGAACTCTTGACAGAATCTGGCGGAAATTCAAAGTCTGGTTTGTCTCTAGTAATTCTATTAACATTTCAAAGGTGGGTGATGTTCTGGGAATTTCACAGAAGGGATTATTTTTTAAGTGAAGAATTAGTGCTTTAAAGCTCTGCCTGTACTAGGACTATTGCTGCTATCTTGCAATAGGTAAATGAATTCTATCTGAGACACCAAGTTCTCTATCAGTCGTTTTGCTACTTTATCTGTACTGGCATAATTGAAGTATCAGCCATCTTTTGCCACAGTGTGAATAGAGCTGTATCAGTATAAAACTGCATATATTGGTAGCTTATTTCTGCGCAGAAGGAAACAACCTAGGGCTGGCCCCATTCCAGAAATTTTTAATTGTATTGCAGTTGCTATGCTTGTATAAACTGTTTGTATTGGAGACCTTATACCAGAAGAAAGTGACTTTGTTCTAGTTTATTTGCCTTTATCCTTAGAGCCCCATAAAAAGTCACAGCATTTCAGTTTCATAGGTTCACTTTGTGAGCAAACTTGCCCTTTACACGGACTTACCTCCATCTGTGCTACAGGCTAGAAACCATGGGTGTTTTGACAATAAAAATGCATCTTCCTTTCTAATATAAGCCTAATCTATTCAGTTAATACTAGAACAAGAACAGTGCATACTGTGAACGGTTAGAATATGTCCATCTGGCTTCACGCATCAGAGCCTATAGAGCAGCTGTCCCTAACCTGAATCCCAGCTTAACTCTGTTATTCAGCAAGGAACACGATGTTTTAGATGCTCCAATCACACTTTCAGCTGTTGTTTTATGTAACAGTGAATTGCCTTGCTTTTCTGCTGTGTAAATGAATCTTGTCCATTATGTGTTGCCTAACAATGAATTAAGAAAGTTGAAGTCAGAATATCAGAACTTGGATCGCTTGCAAATAAGGATGATTTGCATTTGCTCATTCTGTAAAGATAATGTTGAGCAGATTCAGATGATTCCTGTTTTAAAGCTACAGGTTAGGAAGAGATCTTGATCCACATTAAAAGGAGGGGAGTGGATCCTAATGGGGAAAAGTCTGAAAATCACTATAGCCCTTCTGCTCAAAGGCTGGGAGCAGTAAAGAAAGGATCTAGTCAGAGACTAGCAAGCAGGAACAGAAAGAGCCAAAAGCCTAGGGGACCTTTGACCATTCAGAGAACATTCACTAGCTTTAATTATCTGTTCTCTGTCCTATGCTCATTGAGCATTTGTTCCACCTTCTCTCTGTCCATTCCACCTCTATTGCTTTAATACTGCTTACTTCATTTGATTCCCTCCACCCAATCTGCCCTCCTTACTCTGTATATCCTTCCATTTCCTGGAAACAGAAGCAAAAGCCACCCCCAAAACAGAACTAGTGTTACATTTACTACAATCACAATGTTTGTGCTGTGTGTGAACTTTTCCCCCATGCTGTCTTATCTGTTTAGACTGCTGGTTTTTATATGACCAGGGACCTTTTACTGCTCTGTGTTTATGCGCTGTCCAGCAGAACTGGAACTTCAGTTTTCATTAGTCCTTAGAAGACCTTAAATATGATTAAGAATAATATTCCTTTATCCTGCTTTTTTATAAGAAGTTATTTCCCAACAAATGACTACCCTTAATGAGATGAGGTAGATGAGATTTAACAGGATAAGAGGAACTTTGCTTTTGTTGTTTTTCAATAGGTGAACTAGTGATTTAAAAGTATAATGTTACAACTGTGGTTATATTATAGTCCAGAATAAAATGATAAACTTTTCAGAATTAATTTTATATTGACTATTTGCATTGCACTTGCAGTGATTTGTAAAATGTTGGCTCGTTTCCCGTGTTTTACATCTTTTAAATTTGCTTTCTAGAAACCATTTTGGTAGGTGTGGGTTGCTTGTCAGAAATCCATTCCGAAGCTTGAATGCCAGGCAAGCAGGGTACTAATGATGGATACGAATGGATATCTTCAGGATAACAATGGATGCAGCATCTTCAAAAGCAGTTTCATTTTGGTAAGAATTTGCATGCAATGTATTAAACAGTATGTGATAGTTCTCAGTAAAATGTGTTTGTATATCTCTCTGAAGATTTGCCTGATTGTTCAATGAAAATTTCTTCTAAAATATGAAAAGTAGGAGCATGACTCTGCATCGTGTAGTATTTTAAATTCTGAAACAGTGTACAACAACTTTAGTTTACTTAGTGATTTCTGGCATATAAAAAAGGTTAAGTATCTTTAGAAAAGTAAGTTATTTTAGAGAAGTAGTTAGTGGCCATTTATGGCCATTGTTAATGAGCCTGTTTCTCTGAATATTTAAAATTTAATATTGTGAACTGTCATTTAAAAAGAACAGCTTTCTTTTGCATTCAGAGTATGTTACAGCTAGCCTCTGGTGGCATATTTCACCGTTATACATGTAACTGTTCTAACAGGCATTGCATCCAACTTGCAGGAGATATGAAATACTTCTGTCATTATTGAAAAATTACTCATAGCAGGAAACTTTTAATCCTTGTATAGGTTAAAAAAAAGTATAACAGCAGAATGCTAAGTCACTACACTGGTACTACTTTGCTAGAAGCTTCACACCAGTGGAAGTTTTACAGTAACTACAGTATAAGTGGTTCCTTTTAGTTTAGTCTTTGAAACAGCTTAGGCCAACAATTCCTTAAGCAAAAATTCTTGTTTTCACCAAAACCAATTATGTTCATATCCATGCGTATACTGACTTCTTGAAATTCACAAAGAATTTGTCCTTTCTACTCCTTGAATTGCGCTGGTGGTTAGTACTGCAGTAGAACTGTTCCGGTAATAGCTGGCAGTTCCTAAAGCTTCTTCTTAAAGGTATTTTTGAGGTCCTGAGTATATACTACGTAGTAAAAAGCAGCACAGAGACTGAGCATTCCTCTGATGAACTAGTTTCATAGCTGAGGTAGCTGTGCCAGCAGTGAAATTAGGATTTTGACACACCTCAAGAACTCTTAATTTTCTTATGCCATGCTGAAAGCTGTGGTGGCTCAGGAGCTGATTCACAAGCAGATTAGGCATTAATCAGATGGACTACATTGGTTAGAGGGGTGGTAGTTAATGTCTGAGAGCAGTAACAGCGTTTTGTACACTGCGTGCCTGTCAGGAGGCCTTAGCCCTGTGAAGAGGCAAGGATAAGGAGCTCAGGCATGTCATTGTGCAAACACAGATACCTCCTATGGGCACCTGATGAGAGCAGCAGAACTGTGGTGTATCCTGTTGGGGGGGAGCAGTGCCAGCCTAGCTGACAGAACCCAACTGCGCTGTACTCAGTTGCATGGTACATACATGCACCATAACTTAACAGGTACCTAAGCCAGCAGTAATTGAACAAGGGTATCCTCCTCACTAAGATACTGGGAAAGTACAGAGTGTGCCTGGTAGATGAAATCCAGAGAGGTCTGTGGCCAGATTCCAAAGGCCTGATAACAAGTGTACAAGTTAGACCTGAAAAGATTAAGGTAAGCAGTCTCCTCATTTGAAATCAGATTGGTACGGAAGTGACTAATAGTGACTTCTATGTAATATCCCTTTCTGCAACACTCATCTTTTCATTTTTACTTTCTAGGTGGGTGGGAGACAAAATCTGGCCCTCAAAGTGCTATACACTCATTTCAGTGCCAAAACGCAAAACACAAATCAGCAACTGTAATGTAAGGGCATGCTAGGTTCCTCTAGCTGCACCAGAGAAGTATGAATGCTAGATATGTGAATGTAAGTTTAGATATCTACCTAGATATGTTTATAAGTAGTTTTTTAAACTGCTATGATTCTGTAGGCTATTGAAGTAACTTGGGATGAGGAAGTTAGGCTGTTCACAACATTTTTTGCCAGGCTAGTCTTTCATTCTGGTTCACTGCATGGCAAGTGTTTAGTTCTTTGTTTGATCTGTTTAGATTTTAAGCCAACTTCTAGGGAGGAAAAACAAGAAGGGGTGAGCTCTTCTTAAGTTTTAAAACCCCTCAAATTCTGAAGGACAATATCAATCAAGAAAAACCTAGTTTGCAGTTTCCATGACATAAAGGTATCTTATCTGCAGTTGCAGTAGTTATAAAAATCAAGGCTGGAGTGTCTTTTTCTCTTGATCTTTTCTAAGGTGACTGTACTGACTGGTATTGTTTCAAATAAAAACAGTTAAAACAAGTGATTGACTTACGAAAGGGTTGACTGACATTTAGTGTTTAATTCCTCTTTTGCTGAATCATTTTTGGCATATTAGCTTTATTTCTGACACTTTAGTAGGTGGAAGCCTGAGGGGGAAAATGTTGTAGTTCTTTCACAATTCATTAGTTTGTGGATGTTTCTGTTATGTTGTTTCCACACCAAATGACTCATATGTTAAACGAACACGCCAGCTTAAAGGCATGCCCTCAATAGTGCAGCCCACAGTGAAACTTGATGCCACTGCATATAAAAATTGGAAGATGCTCAGACCCATTTGAATCCTCAGTCAGTTTGGTGCACATTGGACACACGTGCTATCAATTAGTGTACTTGCTTTCCATCAGGGTACTTGCTTTCAAAAAGCTGTGTTTTACCATGTCCATTTGCTCTTTCTCACACTGCTGTTCTGATGAGTTTGTAGGCTACGTTTGTCTGGTGAGCATTAAGTTGGAACGGAGAAACATTCATTTATTTAATAACATGGCATAGTTTCAATGTATTCTTTTCTGGACTATTTGGTGATAGACTACAGAAGTAACCTGCTTTGCATTGCCACCTGTGTATTTTTTAATAATTTAGACAGACTCAGAAATGCTTTTATTTGGGAAGTTGATAGCACACATCTAATGCCCTACATATTGTGAAAACCGTAATTAGAATGAACCAGTTGGCCTCTGGTTATCTTACCTCTCCTTGAATTTTTATTTTCTTACCGATTTAGTTTTTCCTTGTTTAATAGAAATGTGAAAGACAAAACAGATTTACCTGTTGACAGCATCACACACATTAACAGTTACACTAAAGAAGTTTCATACCAGAACACTGTAACAAGCAGGTCTTAAACTGGCTCAGGGTTCTAGTCCTACATTTTCTGAGTATCTGCAATATGGAGACAGATGTGTACTCACAGCCTGCATTGATTTGTGTACTGAAAATATGTATATAACTCCATAATTTTTGTTCTCTGGATGACAGACCTGTGGTTTTGATAGGAGTAAGATGGATTGCTGTGACAGACTAGATACAACATACCATGAGTCAGGTACTCTGGCTTTTAAATAACAGTCCTGTTTTGCCATGCATGATACGTAGCAGAGTAGTTTATGCCAAAGTGAACGGATATATTTATATTAAAATGCTTTTTCCATAAATTTTTCACTTAACACTACCCATGGCTGTACACTGGGTGCAAGGTTTTCTGTCTCCTGGCTCGTTTTCAGGAGGTTCTTGATGCTCACCTAGCTCTGCTTCCACTGATGTGGAGCTTATCTGTCCGTCCCTTGTCTGCTTGGGGCTGCAGGACTGTAGACACATTAATGAAAACTATGTGTAACTATTAACAAAAGTGATGACAATTTCCACAGGAAACACTGGAAGGCAATAAAGTAGCCGCTTCAGTCTTGTTTCTAGCACCCCAGACCAAGTCATCTTGGGTCACATAAGGATGCCTCACTGAAAGAGTATAAAAGGTATAAAAAATGACCATGCTACTGCTGCAGCTGCAAGTGGTGTTGAAGTATAGGCAAGGAGAGGAAGGAGGTAGCAAAGTGAAAATACATCAGAAATTGTGGCTCTGGCCAGGCTGATGTGTTGGAGAGAACGGGGTGTATGTACGTGCAGAGGGCAGTATCTCTGCCTTCCTGTACACATGTGCCTTTAATAACCCCAGGTAGCAGCAAAGGCCAGAAATGAGGCATACTGGTATATTCCACCTCTACAGGGGTAAAAGCTGCCTCAGCAGCCTGTTCTTCATGTGTGTCTTCTGAGTCTTTGGCTTGTCAAGATCCTTCCTTCATTTGTCAGGAGAGATCCTGGAATCTCATAGTGTATGCTGCAGCATGTACACTTTTGAGTCCTGCTTTCACTTGACCACCTGCTCCCTTCCTGTACTGTGTGATGGAGATGGGCAGTTCGGAGGGGCTGGGCTTTGAGGTCTAATCGGGGTTTCTATGAGCACAGACAGGCGTGATGTCAGGCGCTGAAGGTCCTGGCCTGTTCCCGTTCCTGTTGGGTCCTTCCGTCCCTTTCTCCTCGGGAGGTGGTTTCTCCCGTGGCTCCGGACACGGGTGCGCTCAGGTGGGCTCAGCCGCTTCTCTGGGACATCGCACCCGAGTCAAGCGTTGCCTGATCCCGCCGGCAGCGCGATCGGGGAAGCTGCCTCCGTCAGAGCGAGCAGGGCTTCGCCGCGGTGCCTCGGGCCAGCTGCAGCGGCCGGGCCGTTCACCCGCAGCGCGCCGCCCCCGCCGCATTAGGACCCGGGCGGGCGGCTCCTCCCCGCCGTAGCTGGGGGCGAGGGGGCGCGGCGCCGAGCGGACCTTTTCCCGCCGCGACAGCTGCTGCTCGCTCCCCATTGGCTGACAGCGCGGGACTCCGAGGTGTGCGCCCCTCCGAGCGGGCCCGGTCCGCCCCGCGGCCGAGGCGATCCCGGCGGGCGGCTGCCTGCCTGTGGCAGCGGCGCTGCTGCCGCGGGCTCCCGTCCCCTGCCTGCTGCCTGACCGCTCCCGCAGTGCAGCGCGGTGTGGCTGTCGGCTCCACGCGCCTGGAGCTGCCCTTACCGTGCGTGAGGACTGCGCTGCCACAAACGGGATTGCGCTGGGGATACCCTCGTGCCGCTGCTGTATTTCTGCTGATGCCATGGCACGCCTTTCTAACGCGGATTTGAGCGCGCTGACTTGTTTCGTGCTGGGGAATTACATGTGCAACTGTGGGCTGTATGCCAGAGGGGGGACAGGTTCTTGCCTGCAGCTTTTGTGTACCCTGGGAAAAGACGTGTAAATAATGATAGATGAAAGTGTTTAACACAACGAGAGCTATTTTAAT